CAAGTTGAGTCCTAAAAAGTCAGAAATAAAAGTCATAAAAAGTTAGATCAGGTATGAACCGATAATAAACTGTAAGAAAAATTAGAATGCAATTCAAAGTAATTTGAATAAAAACCAGAATATACCGGCACAACATCCCCACAAAAGAGAATGCCACGCTCTTTGGTGCAAACCTGAGGATCAGACTGTGATATGACTCCAGTCCTGACGTCTGGAAGTCAGAACTTAGGTTTTCTAAGTCTTTCAGCAACTTGGGTGCCAAGATGACCTGAGTGAGCTTTTCACATGCAGCAGTACCTAATTGTAAAATAATAAAGTAAAAACATAAAATATATTGATAAATCAATAGTTTAGACATTATACAAAAATTAATGAATTAAACTACAATAAATGTTAAAGGTTCATTACTTGGTTTAAGCCACTGTCTTGCCTGGTCACCAACAAGAGGAGGATGCTGGCATCTTTGGAATTCCCCATCATGCTCATGGATATCTTGTACATGGTTGACAACGGATCTCCATTTTGCAACGATTTCCTTTCCTGAGGATGAGGAGGCTCCACACCAGTAAAGGTGATTCACGATGCTTTTTTTCCAGGGGCCAACCTCTTTGCAGCTTCTCTGCTTTGCAAGCTCATCAATTTTTCTTGCCAACACCTAGAGTACGCAAAAGCATTAATACGATGATAGACATAACACATACATAACACTTAATTATGAATCCTTGTTTTTCTACTCTTAGTTAGCTATGGCTATTATTAGAACTTGTACTAAATTATTAACCTTTTGCCATGTGCCATGCATCATATCTGTGCAAAATGCTTGGTCTACTCTCTCTGAGGAACTTCATCACACCAGGATGCCTATCAGTGACAATCATTCGCACAGTCACTCCTCTCTGCTCTAGCTGTCTCAGGCTTCTTTCAAAACCTTCCTTCTCCATACGCTGACTGTTGCCGACTTCATTGCTCTGAAAAATCATATCAAACTTCTTAAAAAAACTTGAAGCATGCTTGGGTTATAAACAAAGGCTAATAAACAAATCACTACAACCTTACCTGAATGAGCTGAATGTCCAAGATCTTGTTTGCTCTGAGGTCCATCAGCGAGTATGTTCCATACTTTGCACTGTGTCCTAAACAATGTCATATTAGCATGTACATTTTTAGTGCTTGAAATAAACTCTGTAGTAGTCATTTATAATGGCACATTTCTATGTGCAACTGAAATGGCATATTATCAACACAACTGCACATACCAGGGGAGTCAGCACGCATGTCCCCACCCAGAATTACATTCCTTCCTTTGAGTGTTTCTGCAATCACAGCATTTTGATGCTGTTTCCACTGCCAATTGATTGTTGGGAATAGGAAGGCCCTCTGGTGTTTCAGGTACGTAGTGTGGCAAATCCCCTGAATGTTGAATGCCTGCATAAACTGACCCAAAAGAAAAAACTTTAAATATACAAGTTAAAACTGATTAGTATGCAAATCACATATTATCGGATAAAAAAAAAAACTTACCTTGGTGACTTGCAAGTAGGATGAGCCACTAAAGAACACAGCAGCAGCAAGCTGCAGATTTCCAGCTGGTATGTTCTTGACATACGGCTGGCTGGCCCAACGTTTGTGATAGTCACAATGAGCACAGGTCTGGTCCACATGTAGAACTGTACCCACTGTTCTGCTCTTTATTGCACAGTGTCTTGAGCAGACAGGGCAATTTTTGAACAGCTCCATGAGGTTTTCCTCATAAACAATGAATTTCCTCATTATATGGGGTGGTGCTGCAATTACGGTGCTACAACAAACAGCAATATTAATAAACATTATTAAAAATAATTAATTATTAATGTCTGTTTCAATAGAAACTAAATACAAAAAGTATGACATGTCTATGAGTACCTCTCATTATAGATGCTGCTGTCAGTCATTCCTGGTTGGAAACTACAATCAGAATCCTCAGCCTCTCTTCTGGGCCTTTTCGAGGGGGTAGAGGTAGCAAGAGGGCCTTTCTCTAGTGGTATGAATGGCGTGGAAGTGTTGCAACCAACATGCCTTTTCAGTTGCTTCACCTGAGTGCCTATGACATTACATATATTTTAATACATTGGTGCCTAATACACTATAATCTAAAAAACTATGTAACTGATAAATATTTTTGTTGCTCAATACTGTAAAGTGTACAACATACTCTTGCTCCTTCGTTCGGGTTTCCAGCGATGTTGGGTTGACATGTGCTTCATGTCTGGATGGGTTTGACACGCAGCATCTTTTTTGGCGGGCTGTTCTTTCCGACACGCCATCTCGCAACACAGTGTAGGCTGACAAATACAGACGTATTCATTTCCAAATAAATATTTGCCAAACAAATTTAAATATATGACATATATTTAATTACACGAATTAAGCATACAATTGATGTATTATTGAAATATCGAAAATTTTGATAACGAACGCTTATTTAACAAAAGGCAAGTAAAATGACCAGGGTTATATTTTAGACACACACATACCTCTGAAGGGATAGAAAAGTCTTCGGGACTTGGTACCGCATTACTCGCAAGACGTAACTTGCATTGGTCGTCAACAAGGCCGAAGTCCACCATTCTCCAGTTCTCGAAGCTCTCTCGGGGAAAATGTTTGCGGCACACGTACAAGTTAGATATGTCCGTGGTTGATGGCCAACCAACCGCCCGGAGCCAGAGTCTAGCCCTGGCAGCATCGCGGGGAAACATACTCAATCCACTTGAACTTCTGCACCACGAAAATATACACTTGCGTCCCATGATTGTCTCTCTCCTCTACTACGCGATATCACAGTTTGACATGTCTGTAATTGGAAAGATCCACGTGGTGTCATGAATAATTAAGAGACAGTGTCTTCTCATAGGATATGAAAACTAAGTCTCATTAATAATTATGAGAGACTGATGAGTCATCAACGCACTACGCTGTGCTCTGCCACGTCACAGCCTGCGATGAAGATTTTAAACCCGGAAGACGAAAATAGCGGAAAGAAACTAAAATTTAACCATTTTCTCCCTACTATTAAATCTAACAGATGCTAACATTGTCTTCAATGGTGTTCAACACACATACCTCTGATAAAATCTCAGAAAATTTGGTTTAGGGTTTCATGACCCTTTAAAGGGGAACTTGGTAACTTTTTTAACTTAATAAAGCTGTCTAGAAATCATTTGGATGGTTAAACAACCTGTTATGGTGATATTTTCACAGCTCCCCCCAGCGTTCCCAGGCGGAAAACCAACCTTGCAACATGGGGATTACCGTCCCGGCAAGATGAAAATTGGAAGTCTCGTGAGAAGCGAGACGAGAACGAGAACGAGTGAGAAACACGAACTGCTTTTTATTTATTTGGTCATGTGTTTATTGTTATGCTTGCAGCATGCATTCCCTGGATATTAGTAAACAGGATAACCAAGATTCACAAGATGAATGAAGATGAATTCACCATTCACCAGATGAAGAGGAGGTGAATGATTTGAGGAATACCTAGTAAGTAATGTATATTGTGTATCATTTAGATTCACTGATTTATACAACATTTCTAAGGTGATTATACATGTTTAATTCTCAGCATTGTCATGGATGCTTTTTGGGCTCACCCAAAAAATTTGGGCTTGGAAGATGGGGACAGCTCCGATGAGGATTTTGTCCCATCTCTTCATTTGCGGTAAAATCATTTGTTCATAGTAAACTAGGTGGTGGCCTGCTCATACCACCGATTAAATTGATTATGTAATGGTTAATAAGAATTTGATGTGGTGTACATATTTTTCCTCTTTACACAGCACTGTTGGTGCCATAACAGACAAGCTTCCTGAAATCAGCGTGGACGAAGCTGTGTTTAATTTTGTACTATCTGATAGTCCAGATGATGAATCAGAATTAGATTCTGTTCCAGACCAACAGAGAGTAACTACAGAGGAAGACCTAGTTGGTAAATGTGCCAACATTACTTACAATGATAATCTCCTTCAACTCGCTCGGCACCTGAAACTACCCATCAAGAAGTGCAAACACATGGACAGACTGTCTGTTGTCCCATGCACTGGTGTTCCACCATTGCAGGTCACCCTGAAACCTCGGGGGACTGGAGCAGTTTTGGAATGGGTAAGATGGTCCTGGACAATGTGAATGTACATGTAATTTAGATACTGTTCTTCACATTTTATTCAGACCCATAGCAACAATTGTCTCCGGTTGATTATTGATGATGTTTTTTTTTCACATGTACATTAGTTATGCCCCTTCGGACACAGCCAGTGGAAGTGGAACTCGCAGCCAACATTAAAGTTTGGCATGTAGGGTGGTGAATTCATGCTCTCCACAAATATACTACTGTCTGGCAACAACTACAGGCCATGGGGGTGGTTACAGCATCAACTTACTACCGTATCCAAGATGCATACTGCATAGAGCCTGTCCAAGACTTCTGGGACAACATCAATGCCAAAGTCATGGAGCGTATGCGTCAAAAGGACCATATTGTTGTTCTAGGTGAGGCATACTTTTGTGTCTTTGCCGACCAATTACGTAGAAATCAATGTTTAGCCAAGAATTATATTTAATGTGAGACTTGTGATTCTAACTTTTATTCAATTGTCTGTTGGATGTTGGAGATGGCCGAATGGACTCTCCTGGTAAGTTTTGAGTTCATACGTTTATTATGTGTGAGTAATGTTCATTTGCTGACAGCTGTGTTATGCTTCAGGACACTGTGCTCAGTATTGCACATATACAACAATTGAGCAAGACTCTAGAGATATCGTCCACATCGTTTCTGTCGACAAAAGGGAGACTAGTCGCAACTCCGTGATCATGGAGAAGGAGTGCTCTGCTCCCAAATGTCAAAATAAAAGAAGTGGTTACTGATGCTCACCCTCAGATCATTACTGAGTAAGCAGAACTTATGTGCTGTATTATTTGAAGTCTTGACTTTCATATTGTAGTTGTGCCTAATTTTTTTTGTTATTTGCAGATCCTGGATGTTGATGATATAAAGCATGGGGTTTACAGCATTCACTTGCTGCTAAAAGTCTTAGCAAAAGGCTTCGAAAGGTATGTTTCCATCCACACTATCATACTGCCAGGGTACTCAACAATGCCATATGAACCAATGTTTTACCTGTAACATAGTGGCAAGAGAAGAGTTTGTTTATAGCTGTATATTGACACTGCTATTGATGTGCATGGATGTTCAGGCTGGAGCAGTGAAAGGGCCAAATCAAATTCACGTCTGGACCCGGGACATTGTCAACCACTTTTGGTACTGCAGCAAACAGGCCTCCACAGAGGAGGAATTCAAGGTATGTTTGAAAGTAGTTTTTTTAGTGTAAAAAAATCAAACAGATTGTGGCAGATTGGTTTTTAGTTTTATGTATTATAAAGGTGAATTTTTCTTGCAGTTGATGTGGGTTGGTGTGATGGATCATGTCTGCAACGAACATTTTTGGGCAACAGGTTGCTGTCAGCATGAGCCGCTGGAGGAAGGCAGCCAAGACAAGCCTTGGATGGAGCAAGGTGACCAAATAAGAAATAGAACTGAAAAAATGAATATCCTACATGACTGCACTCATTTCACTCATAATATGATGCGTTTACAGGTTCAGCAGCTCACCGGGCCCTGGCTGCAATTGTGTTCGATAAGAGATGGCTGAACCAGGTGAAGAAGTTCATAAGCTTCAGGTAATCATCTGCTCTCACCTTATTATTTGCAATGCTTTTAATTGTGCACTCAATCAAGTGTCATTTATTTACTTATCAAATTCAATATTTGACATACTGGGATGAGGTCCTTATTTCATTTGGACGTAAGGAAATGGTTGCAGTAGATTTGTATACGTGTGGTGAGAGCTGAGATAATCTAACTTACATTTTTCTGCCCCAAACACACTTTACAGGACGACGTCGGATTTGGAGAGTTTCCAAAATCACATTCTGCTCTACGCATCTAAGCGCATGTCGTGCACCCCATTTATCTACAAGACCAGGACACTGCTGGCTGCAATTGATTATAATCTGCACAACCAACGCATGCCAGCACGTAACAAGGATGGCCACAAAATGTAAGTACTGACATTTTGAATATAGTGATTATTTTTGTTGTTGTTTTTTTACACCTTGCCATGTTATATATATTTTTTTCAAACTTTTGTGACTGATCATATTACAAACTCCCCTTGCTCTCCAGGTACAAAAGAGCGTACAATAAAAAAAAAGGTTACACTTTATTTCGATAGTCACTTTAAACCTTCTACTAACTATAAGTAACTTTTCCACTACATGTCAACTAACTGTCATTAGCGTATTAGTAAGCTGTAGTAGACTGGTAGGTTATGGTTAGGTGTTAGGGTTCGGGTTAGGAGAACAAGTTGACTTGTAGTTGCTAAGTTACTTATAGTCAGTAGAATATCTGTTGGAGGACCAACAAAATAAAGTGTTAGCAGATATTAAGCAGACAGTCTACTAATACTCTAATGACAGTTAGTTGACATGTAGCTGCAAAGTTACTTATAGTTAGTTGAATGTCTAAAGTGGACTATTGAAATAAAGTGTTACCAATTTTTTTTTTTTTAACTGGTTTGTGTATACAGTCAAGGAGAAAAAGGATTACAAGTACATCCCTGACCTCCAGAAGGCCATTCTTGGTAGGAGGCTGAAAAGTGGGACCAGCCTTCCCCACAAAACCACTATAAGGGCAGACGATCCAAGGCGACTTGGTTTGCTTCCCTCTGCACAGCCACCACCACCCACGTCAGAGCTCGTTCAAAAACGTGTGTCACGAGGGGACACTGCACCCACAAACCCACAAGAGGATTGACACTATTCCCTCTTACAAATTTCAAATTGTATATTGTTTCAATGATGGATACTTTTAAATTTATTATATATTTTATTATACAAATAAACACATTCAATGAAAAAATTCAATGTCTTTATTCAAATGTACAATTAAATATTCTAAGTTTGAAATAACGATTTACAATAAAAGATGTTCAATTCTGAAAATGACGTGTCACCCTAAATCCCGTGTACTGAGCCCTTGGCCATGCTGCCACAGCACAAACTGGCGGTAGGCTGAATGTCGATACTGTCGCTGCTCCTCCCCTGGCTCCTGGTGATCATTTATTGCAAAAATGTCATTCCAAGCTCCACAGCCCAGTCGCAACACCCCCTCGTCTAATACATAGTACGCCATGTATGCCATGTTTCTGATACAATGCTCGTGGGTTTGGCGACAACAGACCTTCTCGATGTCTGTTCCCATATCACAACAATGGCCACACATGCACCAGTTAAGTCCTTCTGGGTCAGGGTACGGTGGTTGTGTTGTACCTCCATTAGAGATGTCAAACATCAACCCAGGTAGTCTTGTGAGTACTTTCTCAAGGAGTACATCCTTCTGGCCAGGGTTCAGGGAATTATTTTTTTATTAGATACATATATCTTCAGCCAAAAATTAAAGCTGCAGTCCGTAACTTTTTTGAGTTAAAAATATTCAAAATAATAATAATAATAAAAAACATGATCATCCAGTGTTCAAAAATATCTGCTTACCTTTCTCGATTCAAAGCGGTTAGCTTGTAATAATGCTTTTAATTCCAGTGGTACTGGTGGGTTTCCGCGGGAAATTCGAGCATGTCTTTGCGTCATTACGTCACATCTGTACAAGCAAGCAGGCTATATTGTGTGTGATCATGTTGGAGGTGGACATTTTTAGCCTTTTGTCACAGCACAATAATTAAAATTATGGCGGATCTAGAAAGGAATCGACAATCACCAGTGACAACTGTAGATTCAACAGTTGTAAATCCAAAAAGAATTCGGACTTCTGAGTGGGTAGAGAAAAAAAGAGACTGCAACCGTGCCCTCGCGAAAACAAGAATAAACATCGGCAGGGCTTTTGAAAGGTGGCGTGAACTCCGTGACTTGAAGGGGTTCAAAACGCACGCAGAGACGGCTTTTTTTCTGCTGGACAGGTAAGACATTTCAATAGTTCGTGTAACGGCAGCACACTTGTTCTCTTAATTCACGCAGTTACGGAGTTTCCTTTGTTGTTGCTTTTTTCGTTTTGCTATTAGTAAAAGCTACTGTTTGACATAAGATAAGTGATCGTTATATTTAAACAGCGCGATTTCCTTCATTGTTTTTTCCCCCATAGTTGATCAAAACAAAAGTGGATGTTACTTACTTGTTCAGATGACATTTTCATGTGAAAATTCTTATGCTGGTCATACTTCCAAAACGTAGAATCTGTGATTCTGAATGCCAGTCACAGTATCCACACCAGAGCGGTGATTGACAGACGCGCACTCTCCTCAAAACAATGTGTTCATCCGCGCTGTTTCATGCCAATGTACAACTCACGTAAAGTTGATAATTCCGCGAATCACTGCAGTTACAGATTTCGAACAGAGATGCCGACAAAGAGGAAAAAGCTACGGACTGTAGCTTTAACACTAAGATTAATGTTGCCTGATCACAAACAAACCTTTGTCTCATGTGTCCGTTTCTCCTGCTTTGTCTCATGTGTCCGTTTCTCCTGCTTTGTCTCATGTGTCCGTTTCTCCTGCAGTTCCCTCAGCCAGCTCTGGACATCAGGTTCTAGGTCCTTGGGTCTTGTGCCCCCCCTCCTCGGTGCCCTCTGCCTTGGAGGCATTGGAGGTTTAGCTTTTGCACTTCTGGTTCCTATAGCCTGAGGGGTGAATTCGGACGAGGCCGAGTTCGAAGTTGAATCCTGTAATTTTATCATAAAATGAAAAATACTGTAGTCTACCGTAAAAATCTAATTTATTACGCTAACATCTGATGTTGTAGTCAGGCAAAATTGTGCGTAAATTTTTTATACTTAGGTCGACTAACTCCTTTATGATCTACAATTGTTCAATAATAACAGATAAAACAGTCATTGTAACCTATAATTTATTTATTCCACTTTATAAAAGAATGCAACTTGAGCATTGTCTGCATGATTAACGTTATAAACTAAACTTTGCAATCACAGTTCCATTGAAGGTAGGTTAGGCTATAATTAAGATAATAATAAGCTGTAACATTTGCTAGCTTTATCCACACAACCCCTGTTACGTTTTATGGTTGATAACAGAATACAAAATGTACATGTCAATGTTCTATGATAATGTGTATGATGTATTACCCACCTCGGTAGACATAGCTCCGCAAGTAAAGTTGGTCGGCTCCGATAATAACAAATGCACATGAGCAGCGGTAGAACGGGGAAAAGGGTGCAGCAAGTGAGTTTTTTACGACACCGTTGTGAAATATACGCCCCACAGCTGTAGGGGGAGCTCGTGGGGAAAACATGCGACAACAAAAGTGAAAATCAGCGAAGAACTAGCGAAGATGACTAGAAGTTGCCGAGTTCTGCTTTAAGTCAGACGTTTTTTTATAAGTGAGTTTTGAAGGTTGAAATGTAATAGTGTAAAAAAACAACTTGCATCATAATAGGTGTAATTGTGATTGCCAAAACATTTGGTAACTAAACTGAATTTTAATAAGTTTAGTGACAACATGTTACAATGTTTATGGTACAAGGACTGGAAGGCTACTGTTTGTATTATTGCTTAACACAATTTTCATGATTTCAATTCAATTATTGGGATTTGATTTTAATATTGCTTCAATATTGACTCATTTGGATAAATATTAGGTAGGCTACAGTAGATAACCTACATGTTAATTTTCCTCAAGAAAAATTATATCTCACATAATGCTGTAAACATACAGAGCCCTATCAGTTGATATTATTAAAGGTTAGAAATAACAAATTAAATTTAATATAATGCGGTTTTCATTATAATAACAATTATTTAATAAATAAAAATGTAATATAGTGCACATATTTAGCAAAATACTACTCTCTATAGATATTTTTTCTAGTCAACTAACGTGCTGGTCATTAAATGGCTTTCCTGAGGTAAATGTAACGTTCTGTAAGCCCACGCCCAATCGGCCCAATGGAGGCATCCGACCAGCGGGGAAGGTCTCTGCGTGTTACTGTCTTTTCTCGTGGCAAAGTTTTTTGATTAAATTAAATACATTTTCATATATGTATGTTCTCGTTATTTCATCTGACTCCATAAATGAAAGGGTTTAATGATATCTATGCATCATTAAATGTGAATGAATGTTTGACTATTCCTTTTAACTCTTTACTGCAAATAATGAGTCCGATAGAATACAATCAAATGTTTACAATTTATTATGTCAGGTAAATGTATTATGCCAATTACATAATCAATTCAAAGATAACGGATACAAAACATCAAATGCTCTGGAATGAAGAGAAGAGATGCCAACCCAACATTAAGAAATACATGATGATGAAGTCTTGAGATCCTTCAACATCATGGGCTGATCTAAGGTACAGAATCGCCCTGATCCTCTAGTTGCATTTCATTATACAGACAGAAACCTTTTTCACATGGAAACATCTGCTAACAATGGGAATTTACATTCAGAGTTGACATCTTTTGGGAGTAGGAGATCATTTGTCTAAAGACCCACCCTCCTCTGTGTGACAGTTATCTATAAACTCTTAAAAACCTTAATTCATTGGGAATGAGACCTTTGTAGCAGTCGCACTGAGACATTTCAAATGATACCAAACATGTAAAATACTGTATGATAATTGTTCATATTAAACCATATAGATTTTTGGGTGAACTCAGGTAGGGATGGGTGAAGGGAATGATGTGTAAATTGGGAGGTTGTCAACTCAAGTGTGATCATGTCTCGAATGGGGACCGGAAAGAGAGATCAAATGTTAATTTCCAGAAAGGTCCTTTGTCTTCTCGAGGAGTGGTCGTTCCTCAACCAGTTCTTCCAGTTTCTCCAGCTTACACTTCTGTGCCTTAATTGTTCTCCTGCTGTTTTATTGACCACTTTCCGTGGTTGAAAAACACTGATTGATTGATATTATGTATGAGGCATATACCTTTCGGTAAATTGTACTGTATCTTTAAATAAAAAGTAACACCTGATCGGTTTACTTAGACTGAGGCGCCAACAATCTGTCACGTCACATTTACAAGTGGCAAAACGGTATTTATTGTCTGAATTTCGTAATAAAATGGACATAACCTGAGAGCTGAGATTTTTCTTTCGTATCAAAAGTAACCTGCTCTGTCTAGTCTGTCAGTGTTCTCTTTACTCCGATTTTGAGCGCGTGAAAAGTCTCAATTGCGCTGAATGCGTAAGAGTTGGCAGCCCTGCTTTATGCAGAAGATGTTCTCCTTTTCCTAATAAAGAAATAACGCTAAAATGGTTTGTAATCAGTGAAGCTGGTAATGCTGTTTTTGGAGTTGTTTAATCATTCTCTACTGAGATCTCGAGAGATGTAATATGTTATTTTATTTGCAGTTGATTTCATCTAAGGCTGTTTAGCTGTAAATCTGTTATTGTTTCCATCTCTTCTCTTTTTCTGTTCTTGTTCCTCTTTCCTTCAGTGATTCTGCTTGTTAACAGCAGGTGTTCATCACTAATGCTCACTCATGACTCGATTAATCAAACATCTCATTATCTTAAACACTGGTTCAGTGTTATTTTAACACTCTCTTAGTGTGGGACACGTACACTGAGCAGTATTTTTTAACTGAGAATTTTGCTCTGTAGGTTATGAATGTTTGTTATGATGTTGTCCAATTTAATAATAAGATGGAAGTTACTTTAATATGTTATTAAAACTACTTTCACAAAGATGCATATTTTCTGGTGCCATTTTAAATTATCAAGCCGTTTAAAATGCATTCCACACAAACACACAGGGTCTCACATCTGCACGACCTGCTGGAAGTGTGA